CAAACTTTTGTACACTGCGGTATGCTTTAGTAAACTACAGCACTGAATGCATGGTTGTGGAAGGTATCTCCCACAGACGAGACTTGGGACACACCGGCGGACGCACCGGCCCCTTGGTCGCAGGCCAATCTTCGTCGTGCCACGAAGGCTCAGATAGTTAGATAACATGTGGCTTCAAGGTTTTAGTTGTTGAGTTCAGGGTTTAGGATTTAGGTTCGAGGGTTTAGGGCTTGGGGCTCAGGGTTCAGGGTTTCCCTAAATTCCAAGTTGAGATGAGAGCATTTTTGGGCAAGGGCCGGCCGAAATCGGCGCAGAATTCTCAGGCCCCGGCTCCGCCGACGGCCGTGACACAGGCAGGGCCACAGGGTGAGGGTTTCAGGCTTTTGGGGTTTTGGGGTTTCAGGGTTTCAGGGTTTTGGGGTTTCAGGGTTTTCGGGTTTCAGGGTTTCCGGGTTTATTTGACGGTTTCCGGGGTTTAGGGGTTTACGGGGCTGGGGTTTTCGGGTTCAGAGTTGAGGGGACACTGAACCCCAATTCTCAAACGATGACGAGTTTAGTGTTACTATCGTTGACAGGAGCTCTTACAGGGGGTTGTACTGTTTTGGAGGTCTTTCACTGTGCTCGACTTCTCATATTGGGGAGACCGCGCAATCTCAGTTTCAATGACAGAAAGGACCAGCAGGTCAAAGCGGTACTCACCAGAACAACCCATCGGGTATTCTCTAAGTGAGGGTCCCGCAAAAGAGCGACGTACTTTTTTGGGACACCACTTTAGAGATTTACCCTCAGCCCCAGCCCCAAAAAACCTACAAAGCACCCCTACATATCCTGTAAGCCCCATATAACCCTGAAGACCCCTAATCGAAAAGGGGTCCCCTAATTCTACGTAGTTGTAAGGAACCTCCCACGTTGAAGGAAAGCGGCTGGGACGATGACGAGCCTGCGGAGGCTCAGGCCTAAACCCTAAACCCTAAAAAGCCCTAAGTGGAGTTGTTTAGTGTTTGGGGTTTAGGGTTCAGGGTTTAGGGTTTTAGTTGTTTCAGGGCTTGGGGCTAAGGGCTCTAGGGTTCCGGGTCAACGGCATGAGGTCTTCAAGGATGAGGGATGTATCCGGGCTTTGTGGTGTAGAGCCTTTTGGGGTGCTAGGGCTTCAGGGTTTAGGGCTTGTCGGCATTGGCTGTTGCCTCCGTGGAATTCGTCAACAAGCTCCTCAGTTTACATAATGCTAAGTAATCGGCAGTTTCAGCTCTTAGTTTCACATTTTCATGACAGGTCAAAGGACACTATAGTTAGGAGAGGGCCTGGGCTTCTGGCATAGTTGCAGCGGGACGTCTCTGCTGCACGTCAGGGAGACCGTATGGGAGATCTTCGCACAACGGGTGCCGCCATGTCGATTTTGAGCATAAGAGGGACCGCAGAAGCCTCCCAACGGAAAGTTGACGTTTGAGGAGCTTGAGTTCGACCTGTCCGTCAGAATACTGTGAACTCTACTGCTCTTTAACGCTGAACCAGGACAGAGCGCCAATGCCGCCCCAGGCAAGGGAACTGGCTGCAAGAAGATAGGACAGGGTGCAAAGGTAGGATCCTTTCATTTACGTGCCGTTTTGATTTGCTCGAGGACTTCAGACAGCTTCCAGAAATCAGTGTGTTTCGTCTTGGATGTCGTAGAGGGAGGAAGGGAGGGAGGGGGTGAGGGAGGGGAGGACGGGAGGGAGCAAGCAGCCTTGAAGAAGTCGCTTGAAGGAACGCGGAACAAGACGCCTACAAAACCCTAAACCCTTTGCCCCGTCCTAGAACATCCGAAGGCGCCAATGCCGCCTTCATTTCAGACGCCCGGGGACGACCTCGAGCCTAGACATGTCCTTGTTTGTTTGGGTTTTCAACTTGAAAGGTTTTTGGCTGTTGAGGCCTTGGACATCTACGCATGGAATGCTTCAGCTTCACGTACCGTCGTTGCGCTGAAACGACATCCCGGACAATCCCGCCAGCACTCCGGCCACCACGCCCAGGGCCCTCGCCCCCAGCCCAATCCGCAAACTAGGACAGTGTTAAGCATAATGGGGCCACCCAAACAAAGGTATTCGCAGCGCTTTTTGCCTGCGCCACGCGCGCACCCAACCAGTCCCCAAAATATGACAGTGTTAAGCATAACATGGCCACCCAAACCAACGTATCCGACGGAGCTTGCACCGAAAACGCTTGATTTTCGCACCAACTTTCAGCCAAGAGGTTTGCACCGAGAAATCGGCCAGTGTTAAGCATAATACGAATTTTTCAATATATAGCCATTACTGGAAGTGTCCTGATATAACCCTACTTGCGCAGAGCCCTGATCGTTTGCAATACTTCTGAGGATGATTTGGTTGGCGAAATGATGGCCACCGATGCGACGGTCATTGGTCACGGGCCCCTCGCAACCACTTTCAAAGTTAGGGTTTCGGGTTTAGGTGCAACGGTCTCAGAATCGTACAGTCTTTTGGCTAGAAGACTCTGTTGTCATGCCCTTCGATAGCAGTGCTCATGAGACCGTTAACGAAAGCCTCCAAAGTCTGCACGTCCAAACATAGCATGAAAATGGCAAGGGCCGCAATGCTTGCAAAACAAAGCCTTGTACAGCAGATCCCGGAACTGCGGAACCGGCTGAGTGTCCCGGAACAGCTTTCAGAATCCCTGCTTGCCGCTGAGGCTGCTCGAGAATTTTCATTGCATGGGCTGCGATTTTCAGGCGCAGCAAGCAGCTGGTTTGGCTTCCTGCATGCGATGGACTGTTGCACTTCTGCGCCGGGATTCGGAAGTTGTAAGTGACTGCTCACGGGGCTAGCAGCATCCGACGAGGTTTCAAGCAATGGTAGTTCTTGAAAATAAGTCACACGACATTATTTGCAATGCCACACCTCCTTGACTCTGGGACAAGCTGGGAAGCTTGGTAGGTCTTGGTGTGCGACGACTTTGTGTGGAACACAGATGTTGACTACATGCTGATGCCCCAGCAGTTTGACTTCCCACGTGGTGGGAGCCGCAGATTTTGCTGCCTCTCTGCGAGCCTGCAGTCGGTGTGGGATGTTGGCAGAAAGAGGGTCAGGGCTGCAAGCTTCTGTCCTTAGCTACAAGTGCTCGAACCAGGCCGCAGAGCTGAATCCCCAACCCTCGACCCTAAGCCCTGAACCCTAGGCCCTAGACCCTAAGACCCTAGGAATTGGTGCTGAGGTTCTTCAGGAACAACTACCCCAGCTTCGAGAAGCTCAGGACTGGCCCCGAGTGAGTTCTTTGGGCTTCAGGATTTTTAAGGCTGAGGATGGAGAGTTTAGGGTTTAGGCTTAGGGGTTTAGGGTTTTAGGGTGTCCATCGTCCGAACCCGAGAGCAACCCGAAGCTCAACCCCAAATCCCAAGCCCCTACACCCTATCCACTCCCAAACCTAACAACCCTCAGAGCCTCAATCTCCAAACTTGAACACCCTAAGCCCCAGAGATGGACTCTGCGCAGGCGGTGCCTGGTGCGGCAGCAAGGCTCGCGAGCCTACTGCTGCCGGCTCCCCAGTCACTCCAGGGCTCCTGCAAAGGCATCCTTGGCAAGGGGCCCTTGATTGAGCAGTATTCCTTGAAGTCATGGTTGCGACTACTTTCATTTCGATATCATGACACGAAAGGCTTCGAACTTGCAAGGGCCGACCCGAGAAATCCCAAACCCCCAGAGCGCAGTGTTTCCATCGCAACACCGTCCCCCGGGCCAGACGTCGTCCCCCGTTCTACCCGAAGCCATGAATCCTAAAAGCCCTGAGACCTGGACCTTAGCTGCCCGAAGCTACCAAAACCTGCACATCCAGGCCAATGCTCTTGGAAATCCGTTCACTCCTCTGCTGGCTTGGAGGCTCGCACCTTGTTGAGAGCTTCTCTCTCAGCTGCAGGAAGAGCCAGTAAGAACTGGTTACTTCTTTAGGTCCTTTTCCTTCCTGCAGCACTAAACTCTCTGTTTGCAGGGCTTTTTCAGGATGCATGTAGCTTCTTGCGTGGAAACTGCCCAGCATATCTTCGCTGCCACGGTCTTGCTTTGTTTTGGCATCCGCCGGCAGACGGTTGCAGTTTGCAGGAAGGGGTTCGCACCAAGCCTTCAAGCCCTAATGATGAAGAAGAGCAAGCTGGAGATCGAGCGAGACCAAAAAAAGCGAGAGAGGGAGGGAGTGCCCTGGCTGCTCACTGGGAGTGTAGACTTTAGGAAGTTGGGTGAGCTTGTGGAGTAGGGCACTGCTCTTGTTATGTGCTAGAAGCAGCTGACAGACTGCCGATCCCCTGAGGACGTCGCTGACGGCTTGCGCTGGAGAAGGTTGTCCTGAGCCGCTAGATTTTGCGCAACATGGGGCCCCCCTCGACCCCGTTCCCTAGGCCTTAAACCCTAAACCCTAAACCCTAAACCCTAAGCCCTAAGCCCTAAGCCCTCAACCCTAAACCCTAAAACCCTGAACTTGGAAACCTGAACCCCAAAGCCGAACGCTGGAGCGCTCAGAGCGATGGCATCGGGAACCCTAGATTACTTGCTGGAACCTTAGGTACTTTTTCAAGCCCTTACGTATAAGAACCCTTCGAAGAACTCTTGTTTTGAGAAGCCTTTCTTCAAAAAGCCCTCCACTGCCCTACACCTTCAAACTCTCGTGGATCCGCAGGCACCTTGCATCGTTCATGTTGCACGGAGTGTCGACTCTGAAGGAGTCGGCTCCCTTCGAGCATCGCCAGTCCATAAATGCTGGACCAAAGTTGGGCTTCTTCAAATTATGCTACCCTGCTTAAAGCCCTTATAACGAGGATCCTGCTTTTTAGGGTCTATACTGGAGTCTCAACAAATTCCTGCTGGGAGTGGGACAGCCGGGGATGGGGATGGCGGGGTGGGGATAGCTTCGGGTCCAAGTTTGTGCAAGTCTTGGCACATCCGCTGTCTTCTTAGATCTCAAGTCCCCGACCTTTTCCATCGCTCTTACCGCGTCTACGTTGATTACGTTTCTCATCCATGTTTTATCGTCTTCCGCTCGTGTGCCTCTGTGCTGTTGGCGGCATCAGCCCCGCAGCAGCAGAATCCGAGCTTTGCAAAACCTCGGCACTGGTACAAAAGGCCCTGCATCGGGTGCAGCGCGAAGCGGATCGTCTCTCTGTGCAGGACGCCGGCCTCCAAAAAGGGCTCTAGTTCAACAGTTCTGTTCATGTCTACATCCCTGGCAAGCTTACGGCTAAAATCAACCCTCATTTGCAGTTCCAGAAGACCTATGGACCCTGTCTGCCTGCCTGTCGTAGGCCCACACTGCCTGCAAGGAGTGTCCACCTGTTCTGCAACCCGAGAGTGCTTGCACAGCAGCGGCAGAAGACATCGGCTTCATCAATGCCACGGAATCCGGCACTCCTGGCGCCTGCATCCTGTGGCAGGAGTCAGGGAACATGACTTTGCAAGAGATGGACGAGGCGTTCTCCTCGATGGTGATGGACTCCTTGGCCACAAGATGCAAAAGCTGCCTTGATCCCTCAACCTCCTGCCAGCATTATGCGCCGGGCATCTCTTGCTACCAAGGTGTGGCCTCCGCGGAGGTCTCGTTTTATGCCCAATGCCACCAAAACTGCCCTGAGGTCGACTCATGGTCTTGTAACATCTTCTGGGACACACCGGACTCAGAGCTCGAGAACAGCACAGAAGCTCTTCTGGCCCTCAGCCGAGATGTCACAGTCCCAAAGTCTGCCGGCAGCTTGAGCCCCACGGACAAAGCCGAAGGCAGAGATGCCCTTCGAGGTGTGCTTTCTCAAGTTTCTTCCGTTCAGAACCGGTCTCTTCTATCTTTCCGTGATGGTCACGCTCGCAGATCCTCACGCTGCTGGGGCAGTGTCGTGGATTCAGCCATTTGTGGTTTCAAAAGCGTCACGGACGGAGCGATCTGCGGCTGGAACAAAGGCAAGAAGTGCAAGTACGGTCGGCGCAGGAGGTGGAAAGGCTTCAAGGGATGTGACTTCTGGAAAAAGGCCAAAAACTGCAAGGTCGCTGCCAGCTGCGATGTCTCGCTGGACGTGCCAAGCTGTTTGGGAGATCTCTTTCAGGAGGTAAATAACCCCTACAGGGAGTATGCCGAGTACATCTCCAACACCGGCTGCAGCAGCGTGTCCTCCTGCAACCAGGTTCCTATGATAGTATGACTGATTCGGCAGGTTCCTATAGTATTTAGCTGTTGTTTTCCCTCGGGTTCCTGATGTGCTATAACTATTCACAGAAGCATATAGCCATATAGAGGCTCCTATTCGTCCATTTCGAACTCAAGAAAGTATAGGCTTTTCCCAGTGGGTTGCTGAATCGCCTAGGCAAAAACGCCGTGGAGGATGGCCTCGCCGATGTGTGGGAGCTCGTGTACAGCTCCACACAGTCCGGCATCTGGGCTTAGGGTTTAGGAAATCTCGTAATGCAATATATAGTGCTGGAGCATCTCACAGTTAAGAATAGTATAACATAGTGCAATTTTACAGAGTGAAGTACTATATGGTCGGTATACCATAGAAGAAGTATGCGTAAATGAGTGTGCTCTAGTTCTAGTGGTTGGTAGCTATGGTAGAAAGCTTCACTGTCTTGCTGTTCCGATCAATATTCCTGTTTCTTCGACCACTAGGATGCTATGCTCTGGCATCACGAGTTCCGTTGCTCAGTGACTCGTACTCTTTCTATCACCATCCGCCGCCGTTGCTGCTGCTGCCACCACCACCACCACCACCACCACTGTTATTACTACCACTACTATTACTACTACTACTACTACTACTACTACTAATTACTACTAATTACTACTAATAACTACTAAGTACTACTAAGTACTACTAAGTACTACTAAGTACTACTAATTACTACTAATTACTACTAATTACTACTGATTACTATTGATTACTACTAATTACTACTAACTAATTACTACTAATTACTACTAACTAATTACTACTAATTACTACTAACTACTACTAATTACTACTAATTACTACTAATTACTACTAATTACTACTAATTACTACTAATTGCAACTAATTACAACTAATTACTACTAATTACTACTGATTACTACTAATTACTACTGATTACTACTGATTACTACTAATTACTACTAATTACTACTACTACTACTACTACTACTCCTGCTGCTACTACTACTACTACTGCTGCTGCTGCTGCTGCTACTACTGCTTCTACTACTACTTCCCCATCCCCCCCTGGTGCGACGCCCC